AAGCCACGGAAGGGGACAGGAACATCCCTTGGGGAAACAGGAGAAACCGAAGGTGAACAAGAGCATCACAGAGGAGACAAGGGCGTCCCAAGGGGAACATGGGCATCCTGGGGTGATGGGACAGGAGCAGCTCTATGTGTGGATATAAGCAACAAAATGGGGTACATGTGCATCCCTAGAAGGGGACATGACCATCCCACGGGGCATACAAACATCCCAGTCCAGCTCTGGGGTTACCTGCAGTTGCTGCACCAGCGCAGTGGCCTGCCTGGGGGAGCGGAGCTCCTGTGGCACTCCGGGGGGGGCAGAGGGTCGTGGCGGGGCCCCCTCCCCACTGCTCAGCAGCACCTCCCGGACGATTTCGGCGGGGGATTTGGGGACAAGGGGACCTCCGTGGGGCCTGGCACGGGCGGACAGGGCCCTGCTGGGTGGGGGGCGGTAGCTCTGCCCCACCTTCACCCGTGCTTCCACCTTGGAGAGGTCAGGCAGAGGGTGGTTGAGCCGCCCTCGGCCATATGGGCAAATGTCCGTGGGGTCCTTTGGCTTTTTGGTGTCGGTGTGATGCCGGGGGCTGGGGGACAGCCGACTGGGTTTGGGCTGCTGCAGGGTTTGGGAGCTCTGATTGGGGTCCCTGGCTTTGCCCCAGCCCCGGCGCTGGCGTGGGGGTGTCATGGGGACAGGACTGGAGTCCGAAGGCCCTGAAGTGCCACCACCATCTGTGGTGGTACCCAGGACTTTCAGAGGGGTCTCAGCATAGGGGTCCCCATCGCTTTCTGTTCCCCAGGGCCCCTCTGGCCTCTCGTCCCCCTCAGAGCTGCCCTGTTCTTCTTCCTCCTCCTCCTCCTCTGTCACATCCTGCTGTGCATACCAGCGTGGCTCTGCTGGGGACTCAACATCCAAGTTCTCGCCGTCCCCTGCAAAGCAGCACTGCCACCAATGTGTACCATCCCCCAGGCCCCCACCACCCAGGGACTCCTCCCGGCGTGACTGTCCCTTCCCCAAGGGTTTAGGGGCAGCAGAGGATACTCACCCCATACTGGGCTTCCAGCCGCCTCCTGTCCCCACTCAGAGCCTGAGTCCTGTGGATCGCTGAGCCCCGCTGTGGCAGCCCCCAGCCCAATGACACCGTTCTCATCCATGTGCTTCTCAAAGTCTTCCTCCTCCTCCTCCTCCTCCTCCCAGCACTTGGGTTCCTGGCTGCCCAGCTCCGATTGAGTCCAGCGCAGCCAAGGCGAGGAGCTGCCCATGGCGTCCTGCGCTGTCCTTGTCACTTGTGCCACCCCACGGCACCACAGCAGCTGGGGTCCTCCTCATCACCAGTGTGGCTCACATCGCTGCTTGCCATCCTGGGGGGAGGGAAGGAAGGTGCTAAACAGGCTCTGTTCGAGGGCATCAATCCAAGCTGTGCCCCGATGTACCCCAGACAGTCACAAGCCCACAGTGGTGAGAACCAGGGCTGGGGGACAGGACGGGTGCCCTGCGAGCTTCAGAGCCCTTCAGAGCTGTGTCCCCAGGGTTCCCATAGCAGCAGCTCCAGGGACAAAACACAGCCATGGGGCGGGGACAGAGCGCTGCAGGGTTATTGTGCTGAATGGCTCTGAGCCACTGATCCTGAGGGCTCCACAGCCCCCAGCCCAACCCCACGCACCCCCAGGATGTCACCACACGGCCACCAGCACGGCACAGAGAGAAGGTCTTCCAAGAGGATCACAAGGCACAGCAAGGACCTGGCACCACCGATGGGCACCAGAAATCGACCCCCTTTGAGAACTGGGATACAGCTGACACAGCGAAGGCAGTCTGACAGCAGCCCTTTCCTCCTCCCCCCTTCCCTCCACCCGAGCTGCCGCTGCTGATTAACATGACAACAGTGATGGCACCGTGCCCCCACGCATGCAATGAGTGCAGGGTTCTCAGCCCCACACTTCCATCCTGAGGGGGAGATGTGGGGCAGAGCTCATCCCACCCTGCATCACTCCCACCCCAGGCACATCTGGGGCAGCCCCAGTGGCACACAGAGGTGGAGGGGGGCTTCAGAGGCTTGAATGCTCCCCCGCTGATGTTTTGCATTTCTCTTCAGCTCCAAGTGCAAAACCCGAGCATTCCAAGAGCAAGGGTAAAAACCACACATTTGGGATTGTTTTGCTTTGTGGTTTCTGAGCGCACAGCTACGTTGGGTTATTCTTTCAGGCCTTCTTATGCCACTGTAAGAGCAAGCAGCTCATTTAGAGGAGAAAAAGCAAAAAAAAAATCAAAGGAAAAGAAAAAAAAAAAAAGAAAAAAGGATTTTTCCCTCTTACCATCATGTCATTTTGGTGGAGGGGCTTTCAGGAAAAGTGACAGATGTGGCAGAACCTTGCTGCATGGGGATACTGCAGGTGATGCAAAGCTCTCCCAAGTAAAGGCTGAGCCCACACAGCAGCAGCACTGGGGGTCAGGCATCCACTTCCCCCCCCCCCAGGGGGGGGGTGGGGGGGGGGGGGGGGGTGCCTGCCCCCCCCCCCAGGGCTGATGCTGGAGCACAGCTGTAGAGCTTGGGGCCGCTTTCCCTTCTCCATGCCAGGATCTGAAATTGGATTCATCCCAACCCCACCAGGGACCGGAGCCAAAATTGCTCTTTAGTCACATTGAGAAGATGCAGAGCCCAAAGCATCCCTGGGAGCACAGACATGGGGAAGAGCCTTGCGGTGGGGAGAGCTGCCCTGCTGGGGCAGCATATAGGGAAAAGCCTCGTGCTGCTTCCTCTAGGGCTGCTGGGGCCCTGCTGGAGGGTTTGGAGTGTGCTCTGTGCCCACAGTGCCTGGGGGAAGCAGAGCGGGGCAGTGGGAGAACTGCATGCACCCCTGATGTTGGGCAGCTCTGCTGCATGCAGGTCTCACCCCAACAGTGGGATTTAAGTAGGGATTTGCAGCTCTGGGGCTGTGGTGTGGATTAGAGGCTTTTCCTGCAGCATGCAGGTGCTGCAGGGTTGTGGCCATCCCCAGGGCACCTCTTGGGGACCTCCAGATACACCCTGGGCCGAATACCTCCACCACTTGGCCATGCTGAGGTTTCAATAGCAGCCGGGAGCTGTGCAAGCTCTGCTCCGCGTGCCGCTAATTACACACTAACGGGCTGGATTAATTACCCTGCTGAGAGCACGACAGGGTGTGCCACATCTTGGTGACAGCCATGGGGACAGAGCAGGGAGACTCCCACCTCCACCAACCCTGCAGAATGCCATCCATGGAGCAATGGTGAGCAAGCATCATTACAGGGGGGTCGCTCAGCCCCCTCAGCCCCAGCTGCAGCCGAGGCCTTTCAGAGCGGGTTCCCGGACCACGAAGCAGCATTCACGCCTCGGTGAACTGCAGGAACACTGCTCAGCGCTCCGACAGCCCCGCGGGGCTCAAAGCCGCGGGGGAGGGAGGTTGGAGGCTCAGTCCCTGCTGCTGCCTGCAGGGAGCGGGTTTCGGGGTAGAGCGGCTTTTTGTCTGAACACGTTTGCACTCAAACCACTTTTTGGGGTAAGGGGGAAAGGGGGGTCATGCAGGCCAAAAGAACGCTGCTGTGCCTCAGGCTCGGCAGGGGACACCGGCAGCTCAGCAGGCACTCCTCCCCAGTTCATAAAAACAACGGGGAAAACAGCGCAGCAAGAAAAGGCGTGAGGGATCCCGCGGTGCCGCCTGATCGAAACCCCCCCCGTGTCCCCCACCGGCCCCAGTGGGACAGCAAAGCTCCCACATCCCGATCCTTAGAGCTGCGGGTCCCTTTGGGGACGAACCCCAACGCAGCGGGGTGGGCGCGGTGACAGCCACGGCTGGGCGGTAGCGATCGCCGTGCGACCCGCAGCCCGGGGTGGGATGGGGATGGAGGGCGATGCTCGCCGCCGTCGGGCCGGGCGCGGGGCAGCGCTGCTCGGGGCGGCCCGGAGATGTCACAACCCCAGCGGGACCGCAGCCGGGTGAGCACAGCGCCTTCCTCGAAACCAGGAACTGAAGCTGCCGGCGGCCCCCGCCACTTCCTCGCAGCAACAGCAGCGGCAGCCCCCGCTCCCCCCTTCCTCCCTCCCTCCCTCCCGCGGCCGACCCACGGACGCACCCGAACCCCTTCCGGACGCACAGCTCATGCAGTACCGCTGCTCGGAGCTCCATCACGACTCCGGATCTCCGGCCGCCTCCCACCGCAAAACCTCTCCAGGATGGGGGCCCTTGGGGCCGTGCCCCCCCTTCCGTACAGGGAGGAGCGGCGTTGCGCGGCGTTGGCCCCGCTCCCAGTGCTTGCCCAGCTCCGGGCCGCACTCCATCCCCCCATCCTCCTCCCTTCCCATCACAGTTCCATCCCCTCCACTCACTTGTAAGCACGATCCTCCCCCCCCCAGCCCCTCTCCGTTCCGCTCCCGGCCCCGCTGCACAATAGCGCGGCCCGAGCCGGGGTGGGCGTGGCCTCGCGGTCATCCCCGGCCCCGCTTCATTCCTCCAATCGCAGTGCGCCGTCAGAGCTCGTTAGCATAAAGATCGCTCTTTGCTTTCATTTGCATAGCCTGGGCGAGACGGCCAATGGGAGCGCAGAAAGTGTTGCTCATCATCATAATTTATGCAGCGCGGGCACCCCCTGGCGGCCGCTGAGCCGCGCCGCGCCCCATAGGCATCCCAATACCGCCCTATAACCGCCCGTTTATTGAAAAACTAAAGCCAAGCTCTGTGTATAAATACAATGACAGCGGCAGCAAGTCACAAGGCGTCCGGCTGCTCTCTGCGTGCTCATCTTTCCACCTCCTCCCCCTCACCTGGCACCAGAATGACCGCGGGGACATAGGGTTAGTTTACCCCCCCCCCCGGGCATAGGGCACCCCTGCCCCAAAATGGGTGCGAGTCTGTCCGTTCTCAGCCCCGTGGGGGACAGCTGGGGACGGTGTGGGATTCTGCGTGTGCATTGCGGTGCAGCAGTGGGGGGGGCACCGGTGCCCCCACGTCGCCTCCCATTCCCATCCGGGTGCCCCCCAGGGTCCCACGTGGCTCCTAAAGGGCGACGTTGAACTCTGTAACCAGGAAATCGATGTAGTCCTTCTCCTTCAGCTTGAATGCCTCGGCGATGATGCGGGCAGCCTCGCGGTGCTCCTTGCCCCGCAGCCCCGTGCCGTTCACCTCCAGGATGACGTGGCCCACCTTCAGCTGCCCGCAGTTGTGTGCTGAACCGCCGCGCTGCAAAGGAGGGACGGGCTCAGCTCTGCCCTTCTGCTGCTGTAACTTGAGGTTTGCTCCAAGAGCAGAGCAGGCTGCTCCCGAGGGCAGAGCTGCGGGCGCTGCTCCCCAGCCCTCATCCACCATTCTCCCTTCCCCAGCCCCCACACTTGGCAGGTTCTTGGGGCTGCCCACTTCCCCTGCACGTCTGCAGTGAGCCCTCCATTCCCGGGACACACCTCATGTTATGGGATCAGCCACAGCACGTGAACAACCCTCCACTCCTCAAGTCCTCCCTAACAGAATGGAGGCATCCCGAAAATCCCCCCTGGGCAGGGCTGGAGCCACACGGCTGACAGCAGGTGACTGTGGGGCTTTCCCAAGCCAAGGGGGAGCACAGGGCTGGGACGTGTGCCGAGCTCTCCCCATCCTCAGCTCCCCCTACCTGTATGGTGACGATGCGGGGCAGTGGCTGCCGCGTGTTCGCTCCGCCCTCGATGGCGATTCCCAAGGTCGGCGCGCTCTTGGACACCCGGATCAGACACGAGGTGGGCTCCAGGAGCCCTGGCTGTGGGCACAGGGCAGTGATGCTGAGGGGCTCCGGCCACCCACTGCGATCCCACAGCACACAAAGGCAGAGGGAAAGACGCTGCGCCAGCGCCTCACCACCCTCACTGTGAAGAATTTCTTCCTGAAATCTAATCTCAATCTCCCCTCTTTCAGTTTAAAACCATTCCCCTTTGTCCTGTCAGCGATGTTCTCTCCTTTGATCCCTGACCCCAAGCTCCCCCAGCACCCATCCTCACCGGTTTGGAGGCCCCTTCTGCTGTCCCTTCACTCCTTGTGCCCTCCTTGAGGCTTCTGCTTTTCCCAGGGACCGGCTGCCTGCTCTTGTCCTTGCTGCTGACCTCCACCTCGCCGATGTCCACCCCGCTGTCCTCGCTGAGGGTCTGCCCACTGTCTGACAGCTGGGAGAGCGTGGAGGCTGCGGAGAGATGTGGGCTGTTAGAGGGGGGTCGGATGATGGGACTGATTGTGCCAGGACATCTCCTCTGCTCCCGGGGCTGGGCAGGTCCCCCCTGCTTGGACCTCATTTTAGAGCGAGGTTCCCAAGTGAACCCATCCCAAAGAGTAGAGATGTGTGTCGGGAGCACCAAGTGCCCCCAAGTTTGGATTCGGGATTCAGTTTGGGTCATCAATTGGGGTGGTTGGGAGAGGACGGTGAGCTCGAGGATCCTGCTGGAATTACTGCGAGCCAACCCAGAGCCTTCCCCTCCTGCTCCGGAAGCATGAGCTGCCAGACTGGGGCTTCATCCCCTTGGAGGATGCAGGATGTGGGTGCAGAAGGAGCCTGGAAATGGGCATCGGGAACCCTTGCAGGGAGGACTGAAGCCCTGGGAATGTCCCCTTTGGAAGCGTTGGGTCCCACCGCTCGAGCAGGACGGTGCTTGAGGCAGGTGTTTGTTCCTCTCGATACCGTGATTAACGAACTAATTGCAGTGGGAGAGCGGTGCCACGGGAGGGCGGCAGTGCCACTCTGAGCATCCTCACGGCCCTCTTCTGGACCCACTCCCACAGCCCCACACCTCTCCGTGCTGGGGGCAGCGCTGCAGGTGGGGCCACAGGAGGGCAGAGGGACAATCTGCTCCTTGCCCACTGCCAGCCCACTACTGATGCAGACCAGGATGCAAGCACACATAGCTGCTTAATGTCCAGCTTTCTATCCATCAGGGCCCTCAAGTTCTTCTCTACGGGCCTGCTCTCAAGGAGTTATTCTCCCAATCTGTACTCATGTCCAGGATTGCCCCAGTCTAAATGCAGCACCTTGCACTTGGCCTTGTAGGATCTCATTAAGTTCATGTGCGCAAGCCTGTCCAGGTCCATCTGCACAGCATCCCTTCCTTCTACGGTGTCAGATGCACCACAAAGCAAACTTGCTGAGGGTACAACTTGATACCATTGTCAAGGTCTTTGATAAAGATGTTCACGAGCATCAAGCTGGAGCCATGGGGAATACAACTCCTGACCAGCCTCCACCTGGACACAGAGCCATTGACTACAGCCCTCTGGCTATGACGATCCAACCAACTCTTCACGCACCAAACAGTCCAGCTTTCACATCCATCTCTCTCCAACAGGCTGCTGGTCAGATCAAAGGATGTTGCCTCCTGCAGGATGCACTCCCATCCCACAGCCCAGCACTGGGACTGTGTGAGCAGATGAGCCCCCAAGCTAAAGCCAAACTGGACTTACAGCCAACACCCCAATAAACAAAGCAACGGGGACCCTCCAATTTTGCCTTTACCCTGGCAGTACACCCACCTCGAGCCTGGGGCAAGGGCCTCACTTCGTTGACATCGGGCTCGCTGTTGGGTTGGTGCACCTCCACCATGATGAAGTGCTGGTTGGCCTGAGGGCTGGGAGGAGGGGGAGCGGGGTGGGCTGGGGGTGGAGGTGGGGATGGGGACGCGGGGCTTTGGCAGCCGGCAGCCGCAGGGCCATCTGCAGGAGGGCTGGTCAGCCTGGTGGGGGACTGCACCCTGGGGAAGGGGCCGATGGGGGGATGGCCGAGCAGGGAGAGCTGGGGGTCCATTTGCCGTCGGGAGCCACGCGGGGTTGGGGAAATGGTGGCATAGATGGCGCTCGGGGAGGATTCCTCGGTGGAGGTGGTGGCAGTGGAGGCCACGCTGATGGTGTCCTTCTCAGAGTGGCTCGGAGGGGGTGTGGGGTTTCGGGGGGCCACAAAGAAGAGGCCTGACTGGGAGGACTCGGAGGAAGGGCGCTTGGGTTTGTCCTTCCCTGGGTTCCTGTGCTGGGCAGCGGAGGGGTCCAGCATCTGGGGGGCTGTGGGAGGAGGGGGAGGCTTGAAATTGGGGGGTTCCTCTGGGAAGGACGAGAGGTCATCCTGCCAAAGCAAGAACAGAGCCAGTCACGCACCCAGGGCACCACTAAAGCAGCTGATTCGCACAGAAATATCTTTCGGACAGTATTGGCAACATGACTCACAAAGGAGGACAATTAGAGGACAAACCACCCAACTTCTGCCTGGTTCCTGTAAGCACAGATGCTACTCTTACTCAGACACCCTGAATCCTTCTTCCAAAGCAGTTTGGTTGCTTTACTTCAGCAACTGCAGTGGCACCAGGGGTCGGTGACAGAGCAAATTGCTACAGAACCTGGGGTAACACTCAGTATCATCAATAACCAAAGGTGAGCTGTCTTACCAGAGAGATGTCTGGCAGGGTGTTGATGCTGCTCTGCTGGCAGTCTTCACCTTCCTCCAATTCTGATGTGTTCTGGAAAGGCAAATGCAGAGAAAACCTGGTCATGGCAGCGACAAGAGATCATTGAAATGCCAGCACAATAGGGAACATGCAGAGCGATGAAGGGCATTGCCTAAACCCCCTGCAAGCACCCCTCACTCAGAGGTATTTATTTCCTGGAGAATCACACACCATACAAACAAACAACTCAGTTGAGAAACGGCCTCTCCCAAGCTGCTGGGAGAGTAGCCTGCAGGGAACCATCCTCTGCAGCAGGGCAGTGGGCTCCTCTGAACCCAAACCTGTGTTTAGTTTGGAGAGAGGGGAGGAACGAGCTCTGAGGGCGTCAGGTTCAGTACCTGGATCTTCCCTGGAAGGCAAGCAATGAAAAAGACAGAATTTCCCTCAGCAAAGGAGAGCGGTCAGTCTTAATGCAAATAGAAGCTGCTGCCGTTGCTGAAGAATCGAAATGTCATTAGAAAAGGTCAGAACACAGCTCAGAACACGTCCTGGCCAGAGAAAGTCAGAAAAAATCCAGCGTGCTGCAGTTCCCCAATAGGTGCTGCAGCAGCTCCTGGTTCTGAGGAGACCACTGCTGTTCACTGAGGGCTGACTGCCTTCCCATCACATAGGGCTGTTTGCTCATCTGTGCTGGAACAGGCAGGGTACAGTTTGTGTTCAAATGCACGTTATTTATTGCAGGACAAACAACTGATTAGCTGCAAAGCTGGTGCATCTGCGTTTTGCCCATCTGCTGGAGGCTACTGCTGTGCCTGTAAGATGTCAGTGTCCCAAAATAGATGCGGGAGACAATTAAAAGCATTAGAGAAGCAGTAAAAACATTGATGCAAAGTGCTTTCATCTCCGTGGCTTCAGAAGGAACCCCGGAGACTGAGAGCTCAGAGCAATGACTTGTTCCAAGAGCAACAGGGAGGTCAGCCTGCAAGTCTGCTCCTTCCTCTGATGAGGGCGGATGTCGTCACCGATTCAATCCAATGCAGTGGTAGGTGGCTTTTGAAAGAGAAAAATCCCCTACCTGTTGGGTTACTGTGCTAAGCCAGGGCTGAGGGCAGATCTGGCAGCAGCAACAGAACCATCAGGCTCAGGCCAGACCTGGTGCTGTGCAAATCCAAGCTCTGCCGTGATACCGCGTGTCTGAGGCTGGAGGAGGAGACAGGTAGGGCTATTTCAAGAGCAGCCGAACTTGATATTGATTAGAATGATTAAGAACTGCTCTGGCAAGCCCAGAAGGACCACGCTGGTTTGAGTGCCTGGTACGAGGGCAGTGCAGGGCCCACCAGCTCCAGGGGAACCTCATCTCTGTCCCTAAACTCTTTCTTTTCCAGCTCTGCCTTTGCCCGCATCCAACAGCTTCCATTTGCAGACTATGTAGTGGAGAAACCACCACCTCTGGGGAATACAGATGATCAGCCTTTAATTAACCTCACCGCTCCAAATGAGTCCCTTATTTTCCAGTAGCAGAACTACACAGCCTGACTCCCACACGGTTTTGCTTTCGAATAACTGCGCCAGCCTGAGCGGCAGCCCAGCTTTCCCCCTCTCCCACTCTCCCAAACCTCCGCAGGGTTTGAGGATGGAGACGGAGGAGCCTGGGAGCCCAGGTGTGCAAAAGCCCCAGGCGCTGAGCGCAGACATCTCAGACTTTGAGTGATCTGGGGGTGACACAACAACACAAAGCACACATCAGCCATCCGTGTGGATGATGGTGCCTGTCCTGGAGGGCTCAGAGCAAAGCAGGGAGCTGGCACAGCCCTGTAATGGGACAAGTGGGGCTGGAGAGGCAAATGGTGCTGGAGACACTGAAAGTGTAGGAGGGCCCTTGTTCCTCTGCTCTCATTCTGCTCTCTCTGGGGACATGCAGACCATCTGCTAGATGTGAAGGAGGCTGCTGACTCTTGTGCTTATGGTTCACTTCCCAGAGAGAGGAACAGCTTCACACCACCGTCCTCTCCTTACTGCTGGTGACATGGAGCCAACAGGCTGGCGAATGAGCTGAGTTACTGCAGTGCACCCAGTCCTGCAGCTTTGTGGAGCTGGGAGCAAGCCAGCACCTATAAAGTCAGGCCCTGGATGGCAGTATATTTGTTAGAAGGCAGCAGAAAGAAAAACGAAATCAACAGAGATCTCAATTCCTTAATCCTAACAATGAGGGCTGAGACAGGAGGCAGGGACAAAATCCCTTAAGGGCTGCTTAGGTTGCAAGCAAATGAGAAATTCCCACTGCTCTGATCAGACAAGCTGCATCACATTACTTCAGCCTACAATTAACCTCTGCTTTGTGGGTCTCATCTTGAGATCAAAATCCTCCATTTACAACAGGTGGTGATGATACTCAGACAACCAACCAGCGGGTGGCACAATCAAACAACACTGCCTCATCTCCGAGCACCCTTCAAGAATCCTGGGATAAAATCACTTTAAGTCGCCGTACTGATCAGCCTCATACTGACTGTTTTTTGGTATGTTTGCTCACCAATCCATGATGGAACCTGCTCTGGTGTCACCGACTTTGCCCATGAAACCAAATTAACCTGTGTCCCAGAGGACACCTCCTGCACAGGTGCTCGTACAGACCTTTTCCTTACAAGATCTGTAAGGAAAACTCTCAGACATCTGTGCTGTTGGGCTTTGCAAAAGCACAGCCTCGAGCTGCCAGCGGCACACGAGGCTTTAGTGCAAGCAGGATGCTGGCACCACTTGGGTTTGGTTCACAGCTGAGCCTTGCCCGCACTGCAGCACTAAGACCCACAGCCCAGCAAAGCCACGGGAAGGAGAAGCAGAGTTGGGAGACACGAGGCAGCTGCTGACGTGGCTGAGACGCGTGCTGGCCCCCGGAGGGCTCTGTCCCCTCCTCCCCCCCCATGCACATCGCACGCACTCGCAGCCCATCTGCTATGGCAACCGCAGCGCTCAGAGCTCCGCCCGCCGGCAGCCCCTACCTCCATCAGGTCTATTAGCCACAAGAGCCGCTCCTGGGGACGTGCGAGGGGAAAAGCAGATGAAAACAAGCACAAAAGCGAAAACAGAACATCAGGGAGGATGCAGAACAAACGAGCCACAAAAGCAAACCCCAGCGCAACGCATCCCTCCTCCCGCACGCCCACCCTGCGGAACCCACATCCAGCTGCATCCCCACTGAACGTGAAGGCTGCCAGGGAGAGCAGCAGCAGAGCAAAGTTTGTAAGCTCTTCTGCTAGCTGAGATAAGCATCCATCCACCCAAAGCCCCTCGCCAGACCTCTGCCCACTGGCTGTGTTTCATGGGCCCCTGAAGCACAGTTCCACCCATCCCACACGTGGGCTGCTCTGCTTGCTGCCGAAGAAGCAGAAAGCCCCTCATCACCCGTTCTTTTTCAAGAAGGTTTTAATTTCCAAGGCTGCTAATGCATTTATGATGAAAGGCATTTCATGGCGAGGAAATTAATTTTGGGTCTGTGCGCCGGCACGCTCCAGGGGTGATTATGATAACTTAATTAGATGGTGCGTGCAACGAGGGCCTGACAGCGAGACATGGGAGTGCTGCTGCTCAGTGCTGGGAAGTGGCAGGGGCTTGGATAGGGTGCAGGTGGCCTGAGTGCTGGGCACCACTGGGATGGGAGCAGGCAGCCAGCCCCTGTGCGGAGGTTTAGAATGGGAAACCAAGAGCTGGCAGATAGGGGCAGGCATGGGGTGACAGCAGACAACCCAGCTGGGTTAGCCCCCACCTCTCTGCTGCAACACAAATGGATGGGGCAAAGGACTCTCAAAGCCAGCAAAAAATCATCACTGTCCTGCCACTCCAGGACACTGCTGGCTTTTCCCCTGTCTCTAAAAGCAGCGTGCTGTGATACAGCCTGCAGCCAGGGGAGGTGAGCCCCTCACACCCCGTAAGGAATAAGGAAAGCTTTGGAGGAACCCCCTCCATGCTGGGGAAATGCCTTTATAGCACTTCAGGGATGTGAGCTTGCTGTAGGGCTGCCAGGAGCAGGGACTGAAAGGTGAAGGAACAGCAGGAAGAGGCTCACCCGGGCTGAGCTGACTGTCGTGGAGGTGAAGTGGCTGCTGGAGGAAGAGATGGTGTCACTGTAGGACATCATGGAGTAGGAATCAGTGCCAACGCTGGGTCCTGCAGGCTGCCGGGCTTTCATGGACTCGATCTCTCTCTTCAGCACCAGATTGTCAAAGCGATCGAGGTCTTGTGGGGAGATCACACCCCTCACCTCTGAGAGCAGTGAGAACTGGGCCAGGCAAGCAGACAAGCAGAGAGATGTCAGAGCCTGACTGCACTCCCAGTTTGGGACCCATCCCATCACAGCTGCTCAGGGCTCACCTTCGCGTGCGTGTTGAGCAGCTCAAAGAGCGCCATGACCAGAGCATCCACAGAGATATGGCCTTCCTTATACTCATCCAGGTAGTAGCCCATGGTGGCCCGTTCCTGTTCGTTCAGCAGGTGCCTCGCCTGCTCCTCCAGCATGACCCGGGTCTGGTTCACCATGCTGCTCAGCGTCACCTGCGAGCCAGCCAGGCCCCGGTAGAACACGGGCTGTGGAAGAAGACAGGAGATTGGTTTTGGTCTGGGACACTGAGAAGTCAGCAGCTGACAGCAGTGTCCAGAATGGTCCCCATGCCCACCAGCCCCAGCTGCCTGCTGCTCTCACATCATTTGAAGCGATGCTGGAAAGAGCAACGCTTTGGTTACCCCAAGGAGCCACCAGCACAGCCATGTGCTCCGTGTCTGCCTAACTCAGCCAGGAAATCATGCATCAGTTGAATAAACAGCTTCCCAGTTCTGCTCGGCAGGCACAGACACTGAGCTGCCACTGTTCTAACAGCAGGCTGTGTTTCTCCCTGACAGAGCTGGGGGAACCGATGCCATAAGAGAGGGGCTTCCTACCTTGTGTAACATGCACTTCCACAAGCTCCAAAAGAAGAGGGTGTCACCAACACCAAAGCCAGAGACATCTGGCTGCAGACAAAAGGCTTTTTCCTCTGGGAGGGATTTCTATCTAACAGAGGAGGTCCTTGCTGCTCCCATCCCTGGCAGAGCTGTCACACCACAGGTGTATGAGGCCAGACAAGACCAGGGCTACCCCAGAACACTAAAGCTGAGGCTGGGGAGGTGTTTTGCCAAGCAAACAGCATGAAGCCATTATCAGTGTGAGCCACCTGTGAAACCTCACTGCTTCATTTCCATTTTAAAAGGAGCACACTTTGTAAAGGATTGCTTGGACAGGGCAGGCTGAGGCAGAGCTGCAGGCACAGTGCTGGGCAGGGTCTGGCTGGCTGCTTCCCTCCCAGGGGAAAGATGATGGCTGGTTTTTATCTTTAAGGAAGGGCTTTAGCAGCTCTTACCCTAGCTGTTGCCTCCGCAGCATGATCGCCCACCACCCTGCAAGGAGGGAGAAGATCAGTCAGCACTGAGCACTGCATGTCCATCAGTCATCCCCTGTTCTACACCCTGGATGCCTGTAAGCTAATGGGGGAAAGCTCCCACAACGCTCAGCCTTGATCCATCACACAGGTGCTGTCTATGAGCACCAGATATGGGCACCACAACATCCAAGCACTGGGGGTGGTCCCACAGACAGCTGGCTGAGGCATGAGGCTCTCAGCATCTCATGGCAGAGGATGTGCTGCCGTTCTACACCCACCCTATACATCTGCACAGCCCCTATGGGAGCTCTGAAGCAGCTCTGCACTCTGTACCCCTGTGGGGCTGTACCAAGCACTCACCCCGTGGAGCTGACGAGGGTCTCTCCAATCTGGGAGCTCGCTATCCACCTGGTCTCATCCACGGTGGTGCGGGCATGGGGCAGCCTCCCAATGTCCTTCACTGTCATGATGAGGTGACGGGAGGACTTGAGCAGCTTCACCGCCTCGTCGTGGGGGATGCTGAGGAAGCTCCTGCCATTTACCTCCAGGATCTGGTCTCCTACCTGCAGAACAAGGACGGGGTGAGCCTGGCAGGCACCATGTGCATTCCTTTCCCACTGCTCCACCAAATTAGGACTAAAGCAACTGGAGAAATAATGAGATGAGGGAGAGGATCCAAGTGCTGCTGGCTGGAGACCAAGCCAACAGCCAGTAATGGACCTGGCTGTGAAGCCTGGAGGAGCTATTTAGGATCCCAAGTCAGACTCACCTGCCAAGTCCTCTCCCTCGGAAGGACTTGAAGACCCCACTTGGTTAGGAACAACCCCCAATGAATACGCAGCCCCACTTCTTCCTTCTGAGCTCCAAAACTCACATCCACGTGCAGCATGGAGGGCTCACTTGAGATCCTCACCAGAGCCTCCACCTCTTTGCACGCTGTAGGATGTGGGACAGCTGGGGGTTCACCCCTCCTCTCCTCCCATTTCCTCCCCAGCTGCTCCCTTGAACTTTCATTTTGCAGCCAGGGTCTTTGTTGTACTCTGGGGCTTTCAGACAGTCAGGCTGTGTTCAAAGCACAGCACGCATCTGGCATTTTTCCCTTTGTCCCAAGTGCTCTCTGCTTCTAGGGCATTCCACGCACTTCTCACTCCCATATCAAAATTCACCCTGTTTCTGATAAGCCACCTCTTTGAAACTGCTCTTTCATATCTTTGCTTAACCATAGGCTTCTGCTCAGCTCTGTCAAAATGCAATCTTATTTTCTTTATGCTGCAATGCAAGCAGAACAAGACAGTTCCTTAAATAACTCACCCCATCTTGGAGGAGAAAAGGAGAAAAGAGGGAGGGGGGAAAAGCTTCTGAGGCTGAAGGAACAACACAGGGAGTCAATATAAACTCTCAGTCAGCAGCTCAGTCTGTCTCGTTCTGCTGTTTGCTCTGAGGAAGCCTCAGAGGGCTGGGATTAATTCTCCAGACTCATCCATTTGCTCCAGTAGGACATGACTCACAGATGCCATGCCATCTGCAGTGAGCTCTGACCCTGCTGGCACCTGAGCTTCCCCCAGCACTACCCAGAGCTTTGCTGGAGAAGCCCTGGGATCTGTGATCCTTGCAGGTGCACTGGAAGGCAGCAGGGCACTGGACAGGTGAACGTGGAGATCTTTTCGCTTTTGCAAACATAGATGCAGAGCTAGTGGATGGCACAGGGTCTCCCTGAGAAACCATAACAAGACACAGAAGGAGCTGAAGACCTAAGGATTACTGAATAGCCCAGAGGTGGGAAGAAGAGGGGAAGATGCTTTTTTTGCTCAGAGAAGCTGTGGGTGCCCCATCCCTCGAGGTGCCCAAGGCTGGATGGGGCCATGGGCAGCCTGAGCTGCTGGGGGGGGCACCCAGCACCCAGCAGGACATCAAACCAAGATCATATTTAAGGCCCCTTCCAACCTAAGCCATTCTATGATTCTATGCCTGTAGTAGCAATGTGAAAGCAAGAGCAATAGAGTCAAGATCTACCAGTATCACTCAACTATTTGGGTAAGCTCAGACAGGAAGGAGCTGGTAAAGATGCTCTGTAGAACCAGGCAGGACTGTGCAACTGGCCAAGATGTGAGGAAGCTTCTGAAACAACCTGAGCAGACACAGCTGAAGGAGATCTGCAGCTCAGCATGCAGCTGTGATTTGAGAAGGACCGAGTAAACCTGCAGCAAAAGATGTGTGATAGGAAACCGTGGCAAGAAATGTCTCAAGAGCAGCTCTAAAATGAGTGTAATGGTGATACCCAAAGGCGTGACCTTGCTGTCAGTGCATTCCCTGCGTACAGCCTGCCTGCCCAGCAGAAAGGACAGAACAGAAAGTTCCAGAGAAGAGAAACAATGCCTTGTGGCAATGAAGGTGAGAGGACAGATGGAAGAGATTAGGCCTGTTAAATTTAGAGAAGAGATAACGTGTCTGGATTTGATGGAGCTCTATGAAGCAACGCAGGCAATTATGAGAAGTCAAGGGCTCTTGTTTGCCCAATGAGTGTGTGGTGAGGCTGGACAAAAATCTCCCACAGCTCCTCAACACGCTGGGCAAGGCAATGGGAGGGACCATCAAAACCCCAATTCAATTAGGTAGTTTTATTGCAATTATGAATCTTTAATAGTTTCCTATATCAGGGATTAAACTTTCATGGTTTCTTAGGTTCAAGGCAGTTAGATGGATTTAACGCACCGCTCACCCTCCAGCTGCTCAAAAGCAAGCCAGAAGGAGCTGGCAAGCAAGGAGACAAGAAGCCTCTGCTTTCCATGCTCTGTCAGTGCAGTGCCCAGCACAACCTGCTGCTGGATGAGAACACACAGTGCTGCCTTTGGTGCCCAGGTCAGGCCTGGCACACACAGCTATGCATCGCCTCGCTGCACTTTTCACCCTATGGCTCATTCCCTCTTCATGTCATGCACTATTCTGTGCTACCTTCATCTGTCTGCAGGCCTCAAAACACAAGAGGCAGCTTTGTGAATGGCACCGGTGATGTAAAATCGTTCACTTCTTATTTATAGTCTGGTTTTTTTCTCTCCTTGTCTCATCCATGGGTATATATGGATCACAGCAACCTCCTCCTACCCCAGCCTCTGTGCTGCAAACTCAATATTGAGTTGTTTGTTCAAAGAAAGCTACCTGAAATCTGCAATACAACGAATGCAGAAGAAACCAGGATGAGCAGAGCCACGGACAGCAGCAGGACGAACTCATCTGCCACGTCCATCAGAAGGACAGAGCTGGGAGCAAGCATCCTGCCAACCCACGGCCTTCAGCCTCGGATTTCTGAATATGCCTGAAGAATGCACTGTCAGAAGGTTCAGGGATGAATAAACATGAAGGAGGCCGAGGGGTGAATATTTAATTCTGGAGTGGCTGCAGTGCTGCAGCCCCACATCCTGCTGGCACCTGCAGAACGTTCCCCACGTGGTGCTGCTTTGGCTGCCAGCAAATAATGCAAATAATTTAGCAAATGCTTTATGCAAAACCATGCTGCTGAGTCTTGGCTTGCTTTGGACAGCTTTGTTTTGCTCGTCCCTTTGCCCCAGAGCATCTTTCTTCCCCTTTGATACTTACAGGAAGCTGGTGTGTCAGGACCACAAATAGAAAGCATCCATCCCCAGGGCACCCACACCAGTTATGGCTGTGCCAAGCACGGCACAAAAGCAGCCAAAAGGAGAAGATAAAAGCATGGCTCTATGGCAGAGAGAGATTTCCTTAAGTCCCTGCCCCGTTTAGGTGCCACATCAAGAGGTCAGCAGTACCAACAGGGCACCCAATGCTGACTGCAGAGCTGAACTGGCAGCACGTTTCCCAAGGTCACTGTCAATGAGTGACAGCACACAGAGCATCACCAGGAGCTGGAGCTGGCACCCTCCTTCTCCCCAGCCTCTGTGCTGCAAACTCAATATTGGGGACCAGGCATCAACTTCGGCAGCTCATTAAATGGGGTTTTATTCTCTGCCCTGAAAAGGGCTAACACTGAAAAGGCCTGTAGCTAATTACCCACTGCCAAAACAATCCTGATGAGAAAAAAAGTCTACTCTGGCATCAGAGGAAGCAGCAAAACCCTCCAAAGTACCCAGTGCCTGAGATGTCAGCAGGAACCGCTCCACCAGCTCCAGCTGAGCCCGCACAGCAGAACACAGCAATGCATTCTCTGGCAATCACATTTACCAGCAGTTCTTCCCTCCACGAGAGGAGCAGGAGCCTGGAGAGGACAAGTTCAAGACTGCCTGAACTCCCCCAGCAAACATCTCCCTCTCTTTCCTCTGTCTACACAGAGGACTGCAGTGAGCTCAGTGCCCAGCTGGATGCAATCTTCTGATGCCACCAGGTGCCCACCCTGTTAAATATCAGGATTATCCCCTCAACATTCAACAGTCTACCACCATTTCAGTGAACTGAGAGAACACCAGGGAGTTCAGTGTCCACCCAGACTGACTGACACAAGGACACAGGCACTCAGAGCCCATGGATTGCAATGCAGAAAGCAAAAGTGCACGATGTGATTGCACAGAGCATCCTTTAGGGTGGATGTCACACCAGGTTAGGCTGCTGATTGCTCACCCCGAGGGTGGTCGTGCTGTTTCTGCTTGTTAGGACACGATCCTTACTAATGCCAGCGCTGCAGGATGAAAGCAGCACGCACCTGTTTGCACTGCAGTGAGCCCAGCTTCCTCGCACTGAGCAGCCCTGCACAGCCCTGCAGGCATACGGGGCACCTCATGCACACGTTGGCCCCAAACCTAAAGGGGTTGGATATGAAAAGCAGGGAGAGGGCACAGGACCAAGAACTGCAGCAGTGGCCTCACACTGACAGCTGTGTGCCAGCACTGCCCTGTGCTACGGCTGAAGCTCTCCATCCCTCCCATCCTCTTACCTTCAAGCCAGTGCTCTCAGCTTCAGATCCCTTGTCCACACCGGTGATGTAGATGCCCAAGGAGTACTCTGCCCCTCCTCGGATCATGAGCCCCAGTGACTTCCCCTCGTTCAGGACCAGGTTCACCTGCAGAGGAGGGGGAACAGATGCTTACATGGCACCCAAAAACTGCACAGCAGCATCTCAGCTCTGTGCTTCTGAGCACAGCCAGGTTCCTGTGCTGTCACCACCCACGATGACAGCAGGTGTCATTCTGCCATGTCTCCCTGGGCTTGTCTATTCAGTAATTACCCACATCCAGCCAGGATGGGAGCAGCCCAGCTCTGCTTCCCCGTGTTCTGAGCACTGTGTCTCTTTAGGGAGGGCAGAGAAGAGGGCCAAGCAGACTGCCTACACCCAGCACAGCATTTGCCCGTACAACCCAAGGGCAGTTTAACTCTTTATTTGCATTAACACGTTGCTCTCACTGAACAATTCCATTATAAAAAGTTTGAGTGTATTTTTCAAAAGCAGAAAAGCATTCAGCAGTTCCAAAATCCTCCTTCTTCCCCCTCTGCCCAAGCAACATTCAGGATTTCTTTCCTACTATAATTTCTTTGCCATGCCTTCGCCATGCATTTCAATAATTCCCCAGTTTTGATGACAATCCATGCAGCAGAAATGCAGCACAGCACACACAGCCACAGATCAGTGTGAAAATAGCTTTGTACTGACTGCATTCCCCCCTCTGCTATGCATCCCTGGACAATAAACACCTTTTGCCAGCACTGCTCTAAGCTGGATTCGAATGTTTACATTTCCTTTCAACACTGCCCCAAGGGATTTGGAAGCTGAGCTCATCTCCCCACCCTGATAGCATCAGATGGAGTAAGAGATACACAGCACTGCTGTGGTGCTGCAGGAGCTGCTTTATCACAGAACCATAGAACGGCCTGGGTTGCAAAGGAGCACAGTGCTCATCCAGTTCCAACTCCCTGCTGTGTGCAGGTCACCAACCAGCAGCCCAGGCTGCCCAGAGCCACATCCAGCCTGGCCCTGAATGCCTGCAGGGCTGGGGCATCCACAGCCTCCTTGGGCAACCTGTTCCAGTGCCTCACCACCACTTTGTTTGCACACACACCAAACCCAGACTCGAGGAGCAGCAAGTGGAAAACAGCACATAGAGCCCAAGCAACCCAGGTTTGAAAGACCTTCCACCCAGCAGGGCCAGCACAGAGCCCATCAGCTGCAGGGCTGGGAGCAGCAGGAAAACTGCAGGTGAATGGAGAAGTGACCACACATCCTCAGCAGCCCGGACTGGCTGCAAAGCTCAGCAAGGTCAGAGCAAGCAAACTGCAAGAGGAGAGCAGCACTGCTCCACATGGAAAACATCACTGTCATCTAATAGGAAGAAATCTGTCCTCATCTCGCCTGCTTCTATTATCCTTCATGCTCAAGTAGTCACCATTAGGCTCTCAATAACATCCAAGCCGTGCAATGATATCACAGATATATTTCTCCTTTTTGGATTTTTTTTTCTTTTGTAATATAGCTACCTTTGAGCACAAAACTGCCTGGAGGCAAAGAGACACTCTCTTCTATGCGTATGTTTTTTTTCTTCCTTCTCCTGCACCAAAAACATAAAGGAATAAGCAGTTCCCCTGGCCATCAACACATTAGAGCAAGGATTTAGTCGATGAAATGGCATTTCTTAGGGAATTAGCAGCCCAGCATTTGCAGAGCGTTTCTTCTCCCTCCCAGCGCAGCAGCACCTCTGAGTTTTCGCCGGCTGATGATTTCCAAAGTGCTTTTAATGAAATAAGCTGTCAATTCCAGAAGCACAACAATGACAATTCACAGCCTAAGTGGTCTTTGCTATTGTCAGAATCCAGAGGATTTGAGTCTGGACAGATCACAAACATCAGTGGGAACCTGTGGGGCTCGAGGCAGACAGGGGCATCTCTACTGCCTGACGAATGTGGGATGCCTCCACCAACCTTGAATTTCACCTTGCCAAAACTGGAAACATCACCTTAACTACAGCAGATTCACTGAACTGTGGCAAAGCATTAACAAACTTTCTGGTTTACAACCTCCTGCTGCAGGGCTAAAATCCAATCCGCTGCGCTTCCCCAAACAGCACCAGCTTGAAAGCTTTGGCCTGTGTGTTCCAGGACATTCAGATCAATTAGAAATAGCAGAGGGGTGTGAGGGGGGAGGGGGGGGAGCACACAAATCCCCAGCCTCTCCCTTAGGAAGTGCAAACATCCAGAAATCAAACAGCCCTCGGGGGTACCTGTCAATTCCAGCTGACTGTGCTGAATTAACCAGAGACAGGTTGCATTTATTTGCATGATAGTTGTCAACAGAACATTTACAGCAGCAATATGCATACAAACAAATAATAACAATTAAAAAAAAGCGAGAGGATAACCGTTATCCTGTTATAGGGATGGATTCACCTCTCAGGGGTGTATGGCAAAGTCAGGACAAAATGATTCTGCTAATTGGAGCTCCAAGCACGTGCTGTGCCTCATGGCACAGGCAGTCGGACCAAATAACCCCTCTCCATCACGGATCACTTTCATGGTGGGGTTTCCTTTCACTGCCAGCTGGCAAAGCAGGACGCTTTGGATACAGAAGTGCCTTGGTCTTTTATGGGTCATGCCAGGGAGTGGAAGAACGAGCACAGATTTGGGGAAAGCCAGGCAGGGAGCTACTCACAGCTTGGCAAAGAGCTGCTGAAGGCAGCATGCCACGAGCTGGGAGTACCACGAAGCACGGGCATTCCAGGCTGGCAGATCTCCCCAGTGCCCTGCCACGTAAAATGGCATCACAGCAATGGCACCAGAGCAGCACAGCCTGAAGCAGGGACAGTTTCTCCAGGCAGCTTCAGGCCTGAATGTGTCACATAGGGCAACATAGGGATGGTGCCCCTCACAGCTCAAGAGTGAGTTTGTGCAAAAGCATCCAAGTCCTGCATCACATCTCCCTGCACATCCAGCATTGGAAAGGGGCTCACACAGCTGCAGGCTTGCATGTTGATACCCAGCATGCAGCAAAGGAACGACATGCAGAGCAACACCTCCTGCCTGCAGCTTCAAAGAGCCTATCTGCTCTGCTGGGGCTGCATCAAGGTGACACTGAGTGGTAGGGGGTGGGGGACACTAGCAAGCCAGCAGCAGTTGCTTTTCTTTCCTCTTTAAAGTAAAAAATAATAGGCCTTTCTCCCTCGTGGCCAACATGAATATTTCAACAGCAAACTCCCTCATCCTGTATTAGATTTTCCCCTTTCTGGCTGAGGCAGGAGCCTCCAGCTTACAGATCCCTTACAGCTTCTCCAGGCAGAGCTGGGGGCACACAGTCGAAGTGCTGGGTGATCTCTAGATGGCAAGATGGAAATACTGAGGCTCGGGTAACTCCATGCCTTCGGGCTGCTCACTCATATGATAGTACCTGGATATCCAATAAGCAGCAGAGAGGCAATAGCATCTCCTTTTTGCACAGGACCAACAGGTTCCCTATTCACCACCTTGGAGAGCATCCACCCCTCCATCCCAAGCCTTCGCAGCACACAGAGAAGCAAAAACCACACAGTTGGCGAAGATGGCCGGCACCTGCATGGCAGCAGGTAACACGAGGCAGGCCCGCCGTGCTGCCCTTGCTCACCTTTTTCTCATCTCCCTCCTGCAGGAGCTGGAGGTGGCTCCTCTTCTCGCCGTCCTTGCGCAGCGAGCTGTTCTGATGGTGAGGCAGCCCCGTCGGTGGGGACACGCTGCGGCCCTGCGGGTCCACCCAGGTGTAGATGTGGTTGGTGACGTAGCCCCCCGGGATGCGTCCCACCGAATGGACGGACAGGTTCAGCTTCTTACAGCCTTTCAGAACCTGGAAGGGAAGGCACAGAGAAGAGGGAGTCAATGCCTATGGATGGGGAAGGACGATCCGCCTTGGGGCCCTGGAGCGACAGGACAGGCTTTGTCCTTCCTGGAGGCTGAAAGATGTCAAGCTACTCTGCACACCCGCAGAATGTAATGAGAGATAGAAAAAGCCAGTGAAACAGCTCAGATTTTTATATTCTCTTGAACTACCACAGTGCCCAGGCCATGATGCTGTCGATGATAGAGGAAATATGCTCTCCCCATCAGCAGATGAAGCCGTGTATAGGGCACTGACTGCCTGCAGGGAGCCCCGGCGTGGGCTGAATCCCAGACTGAGCCTTCTCTGCACCCTCTGAATGGGCTCAGTGCTTGGGAAAGCAGCACTTTTGCTCCCCCCCAGGCTGGTCCCAAGCTCCATCTTTAGTAATGCTCCTGATGTCCAACAGACACTGACAGCTCCCCCAGAAATTCAGCCATCAAGAGGCTGGTAACCCTGCCTGCAGAAGAGGGATTTGAGCTGGGTGATCTTTAAGGTCCCTACCAACCCAAGCCGTTCTATGATTCTATGATCTCACCAGCTGCCCTCCCAGGACAAGCCAGCAATTAATGAGCACAGCCATTAACAAATACATAAATCTATTTCAAACAGCATGCACCAAGATGGCCTTGAGATGCAGATAAGGCTATTTGCAACTGCTCCCCTGCCTCCCCAACTTTCACTGCGAGGAGCTGGCATTGCTTTTATTAAAATAACATTAACATTATGGGAGCTCTCTGGGGACAGCTGTGAGTGCTGATCCCTCCGAGGCCTCAAGAACATCAATGCTCAGGATCTGCTCTCAGCAAGGAGCTGCTTTGTATTTTTCCATACATGCGTCCTTCTGATGAGCTGCCCCTGCAAGGTCTCCTCTCCCCACTGAGCAGAAAAGCTGCCGAGCAAAGCTCGTGACAGTGAAGAACCAATTCTTGCAGCTCATGGGCAAAATGTAATGTCATCAGAACTGCTGGGCTGGCCGGGTCCCAGCTCCAGCCTGGCATCACTCCTGCTCCTCCCTGCCAGAGCTGAAGGATCCAGCTCACCACCTCCCCATCACATACAGCAGCTTGGCTGCCAGTCCATCACGTGCTCCCAAGGTCACCACATGCCTGGAGAGCTGGAACGAGGGCTGTGAAACCTGCAGCCCCAGCAGAGCACTTCCACTTCCCATAGCTTCCCCAGCCACGGTTGCTGTGCTTCTCCATGGTGAGCTCAGCCATGGAGGCCCTGCAGCGTGTCCAGAGATGGGATGGAGCTGTGAGGGGGCTGGAGCACAGGTGTGATGGGGAATGGCTGCGGGAGCTGGGATGGGTCAGCGTGGGGAAGGGGAGCTCAGAGGAGATGGCAGTGCTCTCTACAGCTCCTGAAAGGAGGCAGTGGTGAGGTGGGGGTTGGATGAGTGGTGATGACCTTATGTCACACCAGAGGCGGTTCAGGTTGGATATTAGGAAAAATTTATTCCTCAAAGCAGAGATCAGGCACTGGAACAGGCTGCCCATGCAGGTGGCAGTCATCGCCTTTGGAGGCGTTCAAGAAACAGATGCAGCAAACTTTCCAGGCATGAGAAGCTAGAGATTTACACAGGGCTTTTCACATCCCCCTGCAGCTCTGCTGATGAGGCTACAGGAGATGGGCTCTCCTGCAGCAGGGAGATGTTTTATGCATGCAGGTGACAGCCGAGCACCACAGGGACAGAGCAGCCTGGGATGAAGAAGAGACACAAGAGCAGGAGCTGGCAGGGCCCTGGGACCCTGCTGGAGCACAAGGATGGCTGCTCAGAACATCTCTGCTTGGCACCACTGATATTTGTGCTGTGGCATGAGGATTCCTGGCCACATTCATCCTCCATTTCACTGAGACCCTGTGCCAAATGGCACTGCTGCTATGCTATCTGGATGGGGTAAGGCAGACATCACAGCATTCTCAGTGCTGCTCCCCAGGTCAGACTGGAGCATGCAAAGTGCTCCCCCTGCAATCCTATGCCAGTTGAAAGAAGAATTTAAAAAAAAAAAAAAAAAAAAAAAAAAAAGGAAAGAAAGAAAAATAAATTTAAAAATTGGTCCTGCAATCCCAGTCCTGCTTTCATGAGAAGCAATGGGAATCCAGCATGGTTTCAGCTTGAGTTGTGATGAAACTGCTCCATGTGCCTTCACAGGCATGAGGCCACTGCCAACTCACTGCAGACTTTCTCCAAGTTGCAGAGTTACACAGAGAACTTAATTACTGGAGACAGCAAATTAATCAGCCTTTTCTCACCAGCAAACACATCTGTAGAACGTCCCATTGCCTGGGCTGGATGTTCAAGGCTAAATAATGTAACTGCCAGCAGCCTCTGGCCCCTTCCAAAGGAAGAGCGGGGATGTCCTCAGTCCTTTTCCAGCCCCAGCCTTCAGATGCACACTTTCTCAAGGCACTTAAGCCTCTGTCGATGCAGGTCAGCACATTTGCAGCTGAATTTATTTACAAGAACAGATCTTTGACTCATGAGCTTCCACCAGCTTGAGAAGATTCTTTATTTGTACTTTTAAGTTAAGTCCCAGCCTCTGGGGTAAATACATTGGCTGCAGGTCCCACCGGCTGGCGAATCTCTGCTGTTTTAGAAGTCAAAGCCCAGCCCCTTTGTGGGGAGGAAGGCAGAAGAGCAGGGATAACAGCACACGTTCCGTAATGAAGCACAGCAGGCATGGGAACGAGACCTGGCACAGGTCTATGGAGCCTCTGCACATCCACACAGCAAACCAGACCTTAACGAAGCGCTTGGCAGCAGAGCTGCAACATGAGGCATCCATGAGCCAAATGGGAGCAGCTCCCACAGCACAGCCAGAGACAGAGGCACCCATCAATGAGCTGCGGCTGAGGGCGACTCTCCATCTTCCTGCACGGGGAGAACTTCTCTTCTTCACTCTTTCCTCCCCCCCAGCACTGAGCAGGATCCCCAGGGCTTCCCCAGCACTGCAGCTCCCAGCTGGATGTGGGGCTGCCCCAGCAAAACAGCTCCGAGATGAGGTGGAGGTTGAAGGCTTCTGATAACAGAAAGTGCTTTGGGTGTAGAGATACTGTGTGAATGAATCTGGAACCGAAGGCACTGATTTACTCATAGACCACACAGGCATCTTCCTCAGCAGAGACAGGAGTGCTGAGGCACCATATATCCGTGGCAGAGGACAGCATCCATTTTCCAGCTGCTCTCCATGAATGCCAAGCAACCAGCAGGAACCACTGCCCAGCCTAACCACACTCATTTCTCCCCCCTGTGCCTCCTGGAATGTACTTGCACACAGTCCCAAAGCCCACCTGAGCACAGCTTTGGCCAGTTGCACCAACCCTCAGTGCAGGTCTTCATCTTTGTACCCCTCTCTGCAAACCATCAGGCTTCTGCCCTGCGGGGCTGATGGAGAGAAAAGAAGGGCTGTGGGTGGGATGAATACAGGGAGAGCTTCTTCCTCAGGCACACGCATCCTGAAGCCCAACCACTGCAGAGGTGCCCCCTCAGCAGCACTATCCAGGCTGCAAGCTCTTGACAAAGCACGTTGTTTGATGGGCACACTAAACCAAACCCATTTGCAGTGGACCATTAAATAAAATAATTCCACCTCCTTAATCCCTCTGCGGCATCAGCGCAGACCTCGCTTCCCCAGGGCCCTGCAGCACATTGCTGCACTCTGCTCCAAGCTCAGAGTGATTTGGCTTTACTTCAGCTATAACTCATATGAAGAAGACCACGGTGTGAAGGCTGTAACAGCAGCGCCGCAACGCTGCTCTCACGCTATGGAGGACTTCCCCCTTCTTCTCATGTTCTTCACACTCTGGAGGAAGCTGAAAGGCTGAAGGCTGTGTAAAAAGCATCTCCGGGCCTTCAGAAATCCTCTGGTAGGAACACAGATGTCAGAACTGAATGGCAATTAATCACTGGCACTCCTCTGGCAGCCTGACTGTAACACGCGTCTCGTACGGACGCAGCCCACTCGCTTACCTCTGCTGCTAATGAAATGAGCAATCTATTCCAATTCATCCTCTTAGTGGGTAGATCGCAGTTTGAAACAAGCAGCATTAACTCAGAGCCATCCTCCCCCTCACTGCAGAAGCAAGATGCTTGCTTCCAAAAATAACAGACTAGGGGCTGCTCAGATAGCGGGCATCCAAGCACAGCTCCATCCGCGAGCTGTGAGGGTCAGCGTGGGGTTATCCATCAAAGCAACACACAGTGCTCCACCAAGTCCAAGAAAAAATAAGGTAAAAACCACCCAAAAAGCAAAAGTGAGCAAAGCGTTGAGGGGAGAGGAACACAAAGATGCCACAGGAGGGAGGCAGAGGGAGCTGTGCGAGCTCCAGCACCACCCAGGAGTGATTCGCAGAAGTTTGAACGCTGTCTCCTGAGCTATGCTGGGATGGGACCGAGCCTCTCAGCTCGGTTTTGCTCGGCTCAGCTGGCACCCATCCGAGTGCCAGAGGGGATGGAGCGGCCCCTGTGTGCGCTTACAGGGGTGGGGGCTGCAGGGGCAGGGCTGGGACCTTGCACGGGGAGGTGGAGGAGCGTTGAGTGCCTGGCTCCTCTGCAGGCAGAGGAAGAGAAGCGGTGCACGGGCAGAAGGAGGGCAGCAGAGGCACTCACGGTGGAGCGCGGAATGAGAGGTGGGCACAGAAGGATGGAGGGGTGAGGCAGACTCCTCGGCAGAACAGACGGGACCTGCAGGAGGATCAGCCCAACCTCTCTCCCACTCGCAAGGCAAAGGCGACAGCAGTTCGGTTTTCAACAAGAGGTGCTTATGCAAATCGATGTAAATGCATGCGTAATTGTGACTGCAGGCAGTTAGCCTCGGGGCATCGGGAAACCGTGTCCCTGTCACCCGGGAAGGGCAGAGGAGATCTCAGTTCCAAGGACAGCCCGCTGTCACCCCCCCAGCTCCCACCCGCAGAGCCGGGCGCTGCCCCGTGCATCCCTCGCACAGCCCCAGGCAGCCTTAACAGCAGCAGGAGCTCCGCATCGCCTCTCCGTGCTTTCAGAACAACAACCCAGATAAAAGCTAACTCCTTTCTGCTCTTTCTTGCACACAGAGAAGCGAGAAATAACGCAAGCAGCATCCACAAACCCTTACTGCCTAGAGACGGTCAGTTACCTGGTGAAAAACGAACTCTGAAAGAACCCATGCGGGTAAACGAGGCGAGCAGCAGTGCCGGCACAAAGCTCCTGAGCACAGCACCCAGGCACTGGGCAGGAGCAGAGGTGCTGCAGGCAGCGGTGACAGCAGCACTCACTGCAGCCACGTCGCTCCAGCAGACACGCTGTCAGCTCAGGAGAAGGGATTTAGAGCCCAATCATTCTCCGAGGAGACATGGCATTGAGGGAAGTGTCAAGGAAATCCATCATCTTCCCTGAGGACAGAGGAACAGAGTAAGAGATACTTCCACTTGCCAGCTGTGTGGCACAACAGTGCTTTTGTTTTCCTCTAGAAGAGGGAGAGGCTTTGTCCTTTGGGTTATCTTTCCAAGACAGAACTATTTATTTACAAGGAGCGCAGCAAATCACATTTATTGTACTCTGAGAACCACAGATGCTCTCAGCAACACCGGCCCCACTGAAGGAGCCAACACCAAAGCCATGTGCCAGCATCCTCACACTATGAGCAGGGAGATTAAGGACCTCCACCTAATTCTTCTGCATCGGTACAATACTTCATTTCATTAGGGCTGGTGGAACGAAGGGAATCCCACCAACTTCCCACTGAGGAATGCAGCAGTGCAGCAGCCAAACCCCCACTGCAACAGGGCCAGGGATGCCCCAGATGCACACGCTCACCCCAAGCCACCTCACACACAGCATTAATTTGATAGGCCCAATTAGCACGCTGCCACAACGGAGCAGCACCTCGTCACCCGCAGCCCAACATTCGGCCCCAGGGCGCCATGAGTGCCACAGTGACACCAGCAGGAGCCCTGCCCTGCATGGAGCATTGCAACGATTTGAAATGCAGATGCCTCCAAGTCCCAGGGCAAGCTCCTTCCCTCCCTCTTTTTTCCCTTGTTGAAAGCAACAAGGCTGATACTCTTACAGAACCAAGGCTTGATGCACTGCCTTTGCTCCCCATTCTCCACCCAGGACTCGGTTCCCAGCCCCTCACAGAACGGGGCTGCATCCATCCCTGCCAGCTGCTCATGCAGCACGGTGTGGGATCACTGAGCACAGCAAGTAAGTCCCATAGCGATCATCCATTCATTAGTCATCAGAAGAAGCAATGAAAACACAGTTTGCTTTCCTGTAAGCTGCCCGGAAGGTGGAATTGTTCTTTGCTCAGAGCTGCACACCTCTGCTACGTCTCTGCATCATCTGCAAGCACCTCAGCTGCTCCGGACACAATATTAGAGCTTATTAACACAAACTTTCAGCACTTCTGTTAAAATCAAGCACAAACTGTAGCGAGGCTGATGAAAGCCAACTGCCTGCTAGAAGTACAACAGACGACACAAGCTCTGTCTCTTAAGCCATAATTCAAGTGACAGTGATCTTTGTCTGAAGTGCAGTCCTGAACGCCGGGATGATGGAGCTGTAATTGTAATGGAGTCATTTAATTTTGAGTTGGATGAAAGAGAAAGCACTGAGCAGCCAAGCAGCAAAACTCCACTGCTCACATAAAGGTTAAGAAGGCAATCATTTAAGTGAATTGTTTTGGAGTGCTCAGCTAATCCTGTCATTAAAAAAAATAATTGTAAGTTAATCTCATTTTCCCTGAAATACCTACAGACTGTCACACTGCGTGTGCTCACAGCTGAGCATCCCTGCAGCACATTGGGCACAGAGGAGCTCCTGAGCTCTGCCATCCCCCACACCCCAAGCAATGAGCTCTGACAGCCTCCCTCCCAGCACTGCGAGGCTCTGCACAGCAAGGCTGCCACAGACGGGCAGCTTCAAGCTGCAGGACAGCTGAGGTGGAAACACAGCACTAAAATGTGCTCCTTTTCAGAGAGCCACAGCATCGTGGCAGAGAGAAACAGGCAGGAGGCACTTGGGAGAGCGCTCTGCAGCTGGGGTTTGTATCAAGAAAGCCCAAACCTGTGTTTCCCCACCAAGCCACAAAGTTTGCACTGCTCTGATGGAGCAGAAGTGCTTGCAGAACTGTGACACTGACCATGAGCTGGGCTCCTGGGGTCACCCTGCAGCTCCCCATGGTCACAGCACCTGGATGGGAGTTGATGCAGGAACTCCAGTGCAGCTCCAGGACTGACATAACAGCTGAAAGAAGTTCAGCTCCCAAACAGACAGTTTTTAAGCTTTCCTATTAAAATAGCAGTGGTAAAATATAGCTCTCACCACAGAGCAAGCCCTTACCAAACTGCATCCTACGGGAATTATTTCTGTGCAGGAAGCACTTAGCTTCACACGATATTAATAGAGTCTAAAAGGCATCACATACGTTGTATTAGAGAACAAACTGAGAGTTATTATGTGAATTACCTGGCGCAGTGGGCTGAATTACAGATCATTCAGCAGACATGAGAGCTTCTGACACCTGGCTCCCCATTGCTGCAGATGAAATGCGTGGGGCTTTTCTCACAGTTTTAAGAGCACAGAATTGCAAGGCTGACTTCCAGAAACGTTGACTTTATCTTTCTGTTATTAGAACAAAACAGCAGCGAAAGAAAGAATTCCTACAGACTTTTCCCTCAGGGTCTCAGGATGGCCAGCATTGCTGCCAGGCAGCAGATGTGCCCCTGTATGGAGCACAGATTTAAGGCTAGAGCGGGGAGCTCACAGCCACACAACTTCAATGCTGGAGAAACGCACTGCCCAGAGCAGGCTGCTTTGGCTTCTTATGGAAGAGTTAAAGCACAAACAGCGACAAAAGGGTCTCAGTGCCCCACACACCGACCCTCCGTGCACTGCCTGCAAGCTGCAGCCCTGAAGGCTGATTCCCCAGCTCCGTAGGTTTGCTGAGCCCAGCCGCCACACGATCGTGGCTATGCAGTTAGGAAATGGCTTAGGGTCATTCACACACGGACACAGCCTCGGGATACCGAGTACCAGCTCCAAACATACAGCTGTCAGCAGCCCTGCGCCTTTGATTAGAGCTTCTATTCCTTCTCCCTGGTCTGCTTTGGGCACTCTGCGCCTCTCTTTCTCTCCCTTTGAGTGCAGGCAGCACGGTTCGGCGGCTCAGTGCGCACTTTAAGTGCAGCTCCTGCAAATTTCCAACTTCCAAACGCTTCTCAGACTGAAGAAAGCGGCACGGTCGGCGCTGCCACATCACACAGAGACATCGGCAGCACCGCTCAGCCCCGAGGACCCCGGAACGGCTTCGCACCGCGCTCCGAAACTCGGGACGAGCCCGAGCCGTCACCGAGCGGCCACACGGGGCCGAAGGGGAGAGAGCAGCTCCGGGACGCGCACACCCGTCGAGCACGAACCCCGCGTTACCTTGACGGCCTCGGCGTGGGTCACTCTGTCCAGCGGCTTGCCGTTCACCCCCAGGATCTGATCCCCGACGCGCAGCCCCTCCCGTTCAGCCAACGAGCCGGGCTCCACCAGCGACACGTAGATCCCTACTCCGTGCTCGGCTCCGCCGCGGATGCTGAAGCCCAAACCCTCGTGGGCTTTGCTCCGGCGCAGCGTCACCTGGCGCAGCTCCCCCGGGGGAGGCGGGGGGCGGCCGGGGGGCGGCAGGTACGGCCCTTCGGCCGTGTATTGGTCGAAGAGCAGCTGGTCGGAACGCGGCAGCACCAGGCGCAGCAGGGGCAGCAGCTGCCGCCGTCGGGGCCCGTCGAGGAGAGCGCGGAGGGAGCGCACCAGATCGCAGACGTTGCGGCGGCCGTGGTAAGCGTTGAGGCAGAGGATGAAGCGCTCCCGTTCCGCCTCGCTCAGCAGCGCCGTCAGCGCCTGGTGCAGCCGCCGCACGTTAGCCGACAGCGGCCGCAGCGCCGGCCCCGCCGCCGAGCCCAGCGAACCCGACGAGGACGAGGAGGAACGCAGCGAGACTCCGTCCGGCTCCGCGCTCATCTCCGCGCACCGCACCGCACCGCACCGCACCGCACCGCACCGCACCGCACCG